GACTACTCGAACGTAACAGTTAAATAGGTGTGACATACTATTATATTCTTATAATTATATCATATGAATTGATAGCACTGCTAATAAATAAAATACTTTGTTTTACTAAAAATACTTTGTTTTACTAAAATACTTTGTTTTACTAGTAGTGTTTAATACTCATATCTACATGATCATTGATTTAATTTAGGAATTGTATATAAATATCTTTGACAAAGTTTAATTGTGCAATTCTTAATTATATATACAGCACTTGGCGCGCGCGGCGGCTTTGATGTTAGCGGCTACAAGTTAGGCAGCTGACGATAGGATGCCGCGCGCGTTCAGCGTGCGGCTTTTCGTTTTCGTTTTTGATTTTACAAAGCAACTTTTAATAATTTTTAATGAAATTATCGGATATTTATAATTCAATATGTATTGATTCTTCTGTGGAAAATAAAAATTATATTTTACTTTTGTCTTACTTACTTATATTGTATTTTACTTTTAGTTATAACCGCCTACTGATTTCGCCTCCGACATCCTCTGGGCAGAGTTTCTCGTCGCACTGGTAAGATTGGACTTGCAGTGATCTGGGTCATAGCTTCCTCAACCACCATCACTTGCTTTGCTTACAAATCTGATTCAGTCTTTTCACAGAAATCTGCATAATGACTCTCAACTATCTACATCAACAAGGCCGCATCACTTCATATGAGGGTACACTGCACTGTACAGACAGGTATCATCATTATCATCCCTCTTATCTCTATCATAAAAATTCTGCTCTTCTTAACATCTTTTAAATCCCCAAAGAAGTACAAGGCACCCACAGAGAGGAACAGTGCACAGGCTCTTATAACAGTGTGCCCTGTCCGGTGTTTTCATTGTTAGCTGGATCACCTACTTGATCTATTTGATGTGGAAAGGTGCGGATCCAGACCTACCCGTCGCTGTAGAGCAAACAGCACTCAGCTGCATCATGGTAAACTCCTTCTGCAATCCAGTCCTGTATACAATGACCAACAGAAGATTTGGCAACTATGTATGGACATTGATAAGTAGCTTGACCCCTGGAATTGGTAGCGACAGTCAAAGTGTCACTGTAACAGACAGCTCCAGGAATACGACTAACAGTGAAGTTTGATGCTTCAGGATCTCGTTGAGTCTACAAGCTTGAGTACATTTTGAAACAGCATTTTCCTTTCTAACTCTTTTAAAATTTTAATACGTAAATTACTTGGTACATGTGTGATGTGATCAATCAACCATAACAATTTCGTATCACAGAGACGAACTGTACATAACAGTGAACGGTAGCAAAGTTACAAAGTAAATCTCTGTGAAGAATACAGATCCCGGTATAAAATGGAAAAGACCTATTTCACGTCAAGCATACCTTCGTCGATCATCAGTCGTGAACAAATTAAGAAACCGTCAATTCGGGCCAAGTTTGATATTATATTAAAAATAATTTAATTGTTAAGATTTCAATTAAAAGACGTATTGAAGGATTTTGAAATTTTGTAATCAGTATTTACAATTTAAGCAAAGTTACCTGGGGACCCAGGCTATTATTATATTTATGTTCATAATCATAGGATAGAGATTCGGCGGAATGACAGTGCAGGCTGATCGCCGCCCAGTAAAAGCAATTCAAAGCTATTATCCAATTTACATACCAATTTTTACTCAATGAAGTTTTTGCGAAATAACCTTTCATCTAAAGAAAGCAGCATGTTTAATTGGAGGACTTCGCCGCTTCGACGCGCCGCGCAAACTAGCATTCTTGCTCCGCATGACAAGACCGTTGCTTTGCTTCGCAGAGCAACGATCTGGATCGGAAGGGTTGACATCGTCAATCAACATGTTAAAGTACATTAAAAACTTTTATAGTAATTTGATAAACTTCATGTTCAAATTATTAAATTTGATTTTAATTTTTACGTTTATTTCATATTTGAAGCTACTGGATACTTGGGCTATATTTTTTTCCCTTTTAAGTCTGAGTTTGTTTAGAAATCATTCATTAATTTTGTAAATTATATATTGTTTGAAAGATTTAGATAAAAAGTAATTAACATAACCAAATGCAAATTTGAGTCCGTAACGTTTAATCAAACGTTGTATGTTTATAAACTATGAACGCGCGCGCGCCGCGGAGTTGATGTTTTGGTTTTTTGATTCAAATAAATATTTTACTGGTATTACCCGTTTAGTTAAACAAATATCACACATAATTAACACATATCATAAAATAACAGTTTGATTAAAAATGCTTATATAATGCTATATATTATTATTATTACCCTTCCAGACTAGATTGTAGTTTAGTTATGCATATACCCAGCAAATCCTACCGGCTAGGGTCTATCTCCAAAAGTAAAATAAATAGAACCTTCCGCGGTTTTTAACAAGATTTCCGTCTCGTAAATTTAAAGTTAGCTCCACACTAGTTAATTGACGATGTCAATTCATGGCAGCTCGGCGCGGCACAGTAGCGCATCTCGCCGATCTAGCCAGCCGATGTCGCTGTGAGAAGCCTCATTGAGTGCGCGGCGCGGCACAGTAACGCATCGCGCTACAAGCTCCACAGAAACAAAATTTGGGACAACTTAGATTCTGAATCATGAATTAAACAAAAAAGTTTGATTTTGCATTTTAGGCTAAATAAAAGATCGCAGCTTTTTAATTTTGTAAATTAATGTGGTCGTCATGACTACCAACCTCAATCAAGCGTGCACCGTGCGATAAGCAAACTTGACGTGACGCGCGATAACAAACGTGCTGTTGAAAAATGATCACCTCTAGCTTAATTGACGATGTCAATTCATGGCAGCTCGGCGCGGCACAGTAGCGCATTTCGCCGATCTAGCTGTGAGAAGCCTCATTGAGTGCGCGGCGCGGCACAGTAACAGCATCGCGCTACAACCTCTAGCGAGCCCGGCAGGCGGTAAGGTTTTCTGAAAATATGATCGATGACATAAATCACTTACTTAGTATTCATATAACACCGTTATCAACCCCCGATGGCCCGTTTTAAACAGTGGTAATCAAAATTAAAATCACACAAAACTCTGCTCCTGGTTCCTAGCAGCCTAGCTCTTTATTATGAAAGAACTACATTGTTCATGTTATTGTTACAATAACATAACTATTTGCGCTCCTACTAAATCGCTCGCCCAAATTTTAAGAAAATTCTTGTGAAAAGGCCCTGTGTGCTGTGGTTGTGAAATTGATCTTAATCAGTTAATCGGTGTACATTTTTGGACGCTGATTCCGAATCACCCTCCATGACGTAAGGTAAAATGCTTCCAGCTGGATCGGAGAGTTATGGGCAAAAAACCGTTTTGGTCACGTGACAGGCTAGTAAAACACGAATTCGATTGTTTAGAGCTCGGGTTAGGGTTAGGGTTGTGGTAAGGGTTATGAATAGCTTCGGGGTTAGTGTTAGGGTTAGGATTTGGGTTTTGTACAACCGTTTTATACAGCTTTGCTCTAACCAGAGCCCTTTCGCTTGCAGTAGCGCGCGCCGCTCGACCGCCGAAACAAGCGCGTCACGCAGTACGCGTATAAACATGGCTATGTGAATGTACGGCTGCAAAACCATAAAAACCAAAGTCAGCGAGTCACGTGAAATTTTTGACGGATGATACTCGTCTAAATTTAGGTAGTGCGCCATCGACAGTGAGCCGCGCGTGCCGACTGTAGGATGGTTTTTTAGCGCTAATTTCGGCCAGCACAATTTTCTTTAAACAAATAGATATTGAGTATCCTTTCCGACCTCCAATAGCAACAAAAATTGGTAAGCTTACTCATAGACTTACAAGGAAAGTGTCCGAAAAATTTAAAGCATATCCAACCATCAGACATTATGTTACAGCTAAAAGCAGCGTATTTTGCCCCATTTTGATCACTATATCAACTCCGATATCCACCAAATTTTTGGGACAGTTGTGAAAGCCCTATTGGAAGGTTGTCGCCAATTTCCAGAATGATCTCATTTAAGGAACTGAAGATAAATCCGAATAATACGACAAAAATGGTAAAATTTGGACGAATTTGGTCAAATCACGCGACTTTTACAGCTGCTTTTGCTCCAAAAGCCGCGCACCATCAAATATGGCACCTAGGCGAAACTCACTGATTTTTCTTTTCAAGGTATGACAAATTTGATATTGTGAAAATTCTCACAGTCTCTAGAAAACAGTGGTACAAAAATTTTTAAAATCCGAGCAAGTTTATTTTTATCGTGCACCCCCTACTAAATTTTTTCGAAGTGGCGCGCGCCGCTTTCTTTTCGAAATATTAGTCCGGGGCAAGTGCTCACGGCTGTTTAGAAGTAGGGGGTGCACGATAAAAATAAACTTGCTCGGATTTTTAAAATTTTTGTACCATTGTTTTCTAGAGACTGTGAGAATTTTCACAATACCAAATTTGTTATACTTTTTTGGAAAGATCAGTGAGTTTCGCCTAGGTGCCATATTTGATAGTGCGCGGCTTTTGGAGCAAAATTAGCTGTAAAAATCGCGTAATTTGACCAAATTCGTTGATTTTTGTCGTATTATTCGGATATATCTTCGGTTCCTTGAATGAGATCATTCTGAAAATTGGCGACGACCTTCCAATAGGGCTTTCACAATAACTGTCCGAAAAATTTGGTGGATATGGATATCGGAGTTGATATAGTGATCAAAATGGGGCAAAATACGTTAACGGGTGATACTCGTAAAATATCTGTTCCATATATTGGAAGTCCAACTCGGCGCGCGTCCTGGTAGGTCGTCCTGGTAGGTTGTAAACCTACAACAAAATACGCTGCTTTTAGCTGTAACATAATGTCTGATGGTTGGATATGCTTCTGAACCCACGATTGAGCGTCTTAAAACTTTTGTTTTAGGGAAATTATAGTTTTGCTAGAATTCAGAGTTTCATGTTACTTCTTATTTAATTTAGTGCGGTTAGTAATTATAATTCAGACTTTCAATTTTGGTGGGTTAACACAAATTGATACAACAATGTAAGCAAGAATATAGATCTACTATAATAGTAGTGTAATTAATGAACAAAAAACCTTCTTATTAAAAAATGATTATATAACAATGGAAGTAAGCTTTTTGTACTATACTAATTAATTAACACGGGAGAACATCTTCTCATAACCTATTTAAGGGAAATATCTTGGTGTACAAATCTATGATGGTGCAATCACCTTTCAAAGTTTATTTCTAAGCAATGGTGTAGGTGGAACTGGAATGGAGTATCACGGCGTCTCGATCTTTAACAATTTGGCCGTCACGAATTGTGGAGGAAGTCTGGTGTTAAAACAATTTATAACATAGCCAACTGGAAACTACTTTAAACTTGCACATGTAAATATTAATATAAAAGGAATTGTCAAGTCTTACTCTATAACACAACAATTAATCAATTAAAATGGAATATATCTACTACTTTATGCAGACGTCGTAACTGAACTAATTACCTCGGCTGACGAAGTAGAATCAAATATTCTTGGCCCGATCAAGCTGGTATTGACAATAGCAAGTAACAATACGGTATTAGCAGGAATCCTCGTGGATATGTGACCCGGAAAACGACAACGTAATTTTGTACAATGGATATTAATTGAGAATAAGGAACTACGATGTTCAACTACCTTTTTTATTATTCTTAGATCTAACATGCTGAGACTAATAGAAAAGGAATTTACCTCTAGAACGAACCCAACACGCATGATGGTCTTTGGAATTGTCATCTAGTTTAGGAGGAATCTTATCAACAAAACTGCAAAATGTATTCGTGGCTGGTTGAACCTAGATAGAAATGACGTATTACTATAGCCACATAGGAAACTTGAATAGAAACTTGAAAACAACATTATTATCAATTCACGTCTGAACTCTTAAATTAGAAGCAAGACAGCTAAATTAAACGCTCAAATCTAATTAAGAAAAAGAACTTACTGGATTACTACGTCTAGCAAGCATATTAAAACATGGCTTAGCCGGTCGAAACCGGCCTACTGGCCCCTGCGTACTGGAACAACCCTATCGACTGTGCTGGTCTAAGACTCCTTTGTTCTCCGATCGTCATCCTCATATATCATCTCTGAATCTCACTGAGTCTGCTGCTCATTATCGTTAAACTCTGCCGCTCATTATCCATCCGTACGATCCATAGACCATCGTCTGAAACTGTGATACTGATAGGCCGGTCTGCTATCAGGTGTTCTTCTGTGGCGCTCTGATTGGACACCTCCATGGAATGTCATCAATTAGCGTGTCGAATTGTCCCTTGGTTAAACACAAAAAGCTTCGTTTGTTAATTAAACGTAAGCCTATTCTTTAATTTAGATACACTTCTTATATAAATGATCTGCTAAACTTAAGGAGAAATATCTTAAACACAAAATCATTCAAGCACAGAATGACTGGAAATTCTTGGAATTTCCAAGGTTTATTACAAGTAAGCTTACCAATTTTTGTTGCAATCAGAGGTCGGGAAGCATACTCAATATCTATTTGTTTGAAGAAAATTGTGCTGGCCGAAATTAGCGCTAAATAAAAAAAAACCATCCTACAGTCAGCACGCGCGGCTCACTGTCGATGGCGCACTATCTAGCAGAAGGCCGATTTCTGCGATCTTTTAATCAGATATGATTTCCCTCGGATTTATCCTACAGCATTTTGTTACGATTTATTACATTTTATTTTTTCCTCACTTTTAAAAATATCACCAAAAATGTTCCGTGAATAATTTGGTCCGTGCGAAAAATTTGGTCCGTGCGAAAAACTTGTCCGCGAAAATTTTGTCCGATAAGGTATATAATAATAGCGAAAGAATCGAAGGTGGTTAAGCCGTGAGATGTATAAAAAATATAACCGTCAGCCAATGATGATTAGGAGACGTCAATTGGTTCTAAGGACGTAAGGTTATCACTAAAAGTTAAAGTTTCTTACTCCTTATATAAAATATAATGCAGGATGCGTGGATGATAGTACGAGCACGGTTTAAATTTAATCCCTTCACCGCCGGGGAACGAGCACAGTTTAATCACTTCACCGCCGTGAAACGAGCACGGTTTAATCCCTTCACCGCCGTGAAACGAGCACGGTTTAATCCCTTCACCGCCGAGAAATGAACACGGTTTAATTGTTAAGAGGCGTACTCGGATTTCAGCACGACAACTTACTTAACGGCCTATTTTAATTTAATGCTCCAATTTTCCATGACTTCTAGAGATTATTTATTTATTATATTTCATTAAATTGTGATGGTATTACTTTAACTACGTATAATGGGCTCCTTTTAACTAGAGTATGGAAATTCAGGTTCCGATATTATGGAATACCTCCCGGTTTGAGACTCACTCAGGGCACAGTTCAAACCCAAACTCTCGTGTGTACAAGGGTAGATTTATAACAGGAAATAATGGACTTCGAACTTTTAGGTGAATTTATATCTGGAAGATAACCAATTGAAACAAGTAGATAAGATTGTAAAATAATTGTATTAAATACGACAACAACATTGAATCAACTATCATTAGCAAAAGTCCGTTTACCCCAAGTACGGTGGCAGCGGATGTTGTGAGGTGGAAAGCACTTAGTAAGGATGGTTCGTCGATTGGATGATGTTTCACGAGGTTGCAGTGCCAGTTGTCTCTCTCTGAAGTAAACGTAGATCAATACAATGTTCCAGACCGTATTAATTATAACGATGAACTTAATTAAGAATGTTAGGACACGGCCGCACGAATAAAACAATAATATGTAATACTAATAACTATCAACACTTAACAATACAATTGCAATAACTCTATAGTGACTGACCGTAATTAGGCTTCATTCTCTCATATCATACTCGTAGACTTAGTCTTACAACGGTTAGGAACGGTCTGAAAAGAGACAAATTATAAATAAAAGGACCGACTATCTAGAACAATTATTAACTACCTTACTCGGGATTATTATAACCGGGATAAAGTGGTGGGTTTTGGAAGATTCCGCCATATTTTTCCCGGTCAAAAATTTTACCAGTCATAAAAAAACCCGCCGACTCAGATTATGGGGTTCCAAGGGGGTGGTGATCATCATATTTTACCTGAAGTCTCATATATGCTAGAGAAGACTTTTGAAGCAGTGGATGGAGGGCTGTAACTTTATTGGCGGTTGCTACCATAATTTCGTTATAAAAATCACAATTTGGTTATAGAAATCAGATTTCAGGGTGGACCGTGATTCTCACTTTTCTTGCCCATGAAGTGAGTAAACTGTGCCACTATTTCATGGTCCACGGTGGATTGATTACTGGAGCAGTTGAAGATGCAAAGCCAAGACGTTCCCCAATACCAAGCGGTGGGCAGGAAATTAAACTCCGGCTGACCTTCAGAGCAGTAGCCCCATTAGCGGACAAAATGAAAGTCTTGTTAAGACAACAATACAACTTCGAATTTGACGGTCAGCAGCAGGAGGATATCAATAATGATAATGGAGGGGACATTAGCGATAATGAGAATGAGAATACGCTTTAATGAAGATTTGACTTATTATTGCTATAGATTTATTTTCCTTTAAATACTAGACGTGTCTTTTTTTCTATTTCTGAGTAATATCAGTAACTGTAAATTGAAGTAGTAACAAAAACAGAAACTTCGGTTGAAAATTTGTTGACCTTGAAAGGTCGGCCACCGGTAAATACATGACCGGGATAATTTGGCGGGTTTTGGGAAAGTCCGCCATATTTTCCCGGTTATTAATTTTCCCAGTCATAAATTAACCCGCTATAATATTCCCGAGTAAGGTAATTAGGCTAAATTTAATAAAGGAAAGTACAACTTCTCTAGGAACTTAACAAATACGGGTAAACCGCCCCTAAAATGTCACCCACCCCTAAAACGCCACTCTTGATTGATTGGATCCCATCTTCTTAGAAAGTATCTTACCTAATCATTTGTAACTCCTAAACATAAAAAAATATCATTCAGACCCTGCCACATCCTGAAATTGAATCTAAATGATGCCATAAGGGCATTTTTTTCACTTTGTACGAATTTTTTACTTTTGAAAAAAAGCGCACAATTTTATAACTCTGGAATTCATTAATATTAACTCGATTTTGGTCTAGGATAGTGATATTTACATATTTTAGCAACTTTGTACATATGACTGGAGATATGGAAAGTTATACATTACTCAATATTACTACCCTCCCCTAAAATGTCACCTGGCCGCCCCCTAAAATGTCATTTTATCAGATTCTGGCTTTGAGACTACAAGCACCATAAAATGGAGGTACCAGCCTATTAAACATCATATTTAGCATCTAATGGTAATATTGGAAAGCTTTGGCAGCTCAAGGAATTAGTTTTATTTTATTAATTGCAATAAACATCCCCTAAAATGTCTAATTATCCCCCCTAAAATGTCATTTTAACGTGATCAAATTACTCAGGCTTTTCCTAAGATGCAATGCATACATTTCGTTAATAGTTGATGTTATTAATTAACAAGTGCCAAAACAAGAGCTATTATCGCACACCATGCGAACAAAATACAAATTTGACATTTTAGGGGAGAAAAAAATGACATTTTAGGGGGCATATCATAGGTTTACCATAAACTAGTAATTACCAAAAACCGTAGTTTTTGACATTCAATTTTGCTAAAAGCAGTCAAATCTAGTCTATAGAGAAGGTCAGATCGATTACTGGGTTGGCTTAGTTAACTACAGGTCACTAAAATTGCCAAAATGTAGGATGATGTTAAAAATCCCAAAAAATGCAATTAAAACATGCAATTTGCACAAGGTTAAAATCACATTGAATCCATTTCTTTTGTGCCAATTGTTAGTTTATAACTAGATAATCTAACTACAGGTGTAAATTTTGTTGACTGAGTTACCGTTTTGCCGTAAATTCTGGGTATTCAAAAAAAGTCCCCAAAATGTCGCAAAAAGTAAATTGACTAAATTCCACCATTTTTTTTCAACAGAGAGAGAAATTCTGGTCGACACCTCTCAGAAATAGGTTATATTTGTCCCAGAAGTGGTTAAAATTAATAATTGAGCAACATTCTGAGTGCTACACAACCTGTTTTAGCTGACGTTTTAGGGGTGGTGCACGTGACATTTTAGGGGGTGATTACCGTTTTGAGGTACTTCCTTTAGTGAGTGAATGTGTTCAAGTAGCTTAATGTTTTAATAAGACAAAACAAATAATACTAGTGACAAAAGATAAATCAGGCCTCCTGTACATTTTGTAATTATCACACATATAGAGTTGACATTTTAGTAGGGGTGGTGTTTTAAAAGTGACTCCATTTCAACGTCAAAAAAATTGTACCTGATTTTATTTTCAAATTTCCAAATCTTCCTGGCAGGCTAGAAAAAGGTTTAAATATTATTCCTAGACACTTCAGACCCCTGTAAATTTAGCCCTAACTAAGCAATCTGGGCCCAAAAACAGGTGACGTTTTAGGGGCGGTTTACCCGTAAGGCTAAAATAACTTACGATGCAATACTACGGGTGAAACTTAGGTAAAGACAAGCAGAGCAGGTACGTGGGATGTGTATCACCGTAATATCACCTAGGAATTTATTGAACTATTAGAACTAATCTTAACGTCAACCTTTTGATACGAATGCAAGTAATGACAATAACATGATCAAGAACTTAATCTAAATTACGAACCTATAATGGAAATGAGCAACGTGTGGAGAGAGAGCGGACACAGCAGGGCAAAACCCCGGGCCAGGGATAGGAAACAGGTGAAGGCAGAAAGGCCATGAGAATCTTGTGTGCTCCTCTTTATATATTCACCAGCGTGCGCTTTTTCGCATAGCGGGCTCTCACCAGCCCGCTGTCAAAGGGCCCGATATCTCTACAGCCCGCTCATGATATAGCCCGCTAACAAGTGACATTTAATTTGACCAGTAGCAATATAGCCCGGAGTTCTCTAAAATATTTTCATAGCACGGAGATATATATATTTTATTTTGGTGTCCGGTAGGGCTGCTCATGCAGCTCGTGAGCAGATGACATGATACTTTGATTTATATCAAAGTTATTATAACACACTAGTACTACATACGGATTACTACATATAATACACATCAGCACTGTTATAATCCCCCAATTATTGATATTCATCGTCACTGACATTACATTCATTATTCTCACGGCCTAGGAATGCAGTGTCAGTATGGATCTCTTATCTCCAGCCCCTATACACAGCCCTTTATGATTGGCTTACATTGAACACGTGACGTGTTACCATGGTTACAACAATTAGTGGCGACCTTTTCTAGAGTTGACTTTTATACAAGCTCCATTGTTTATTTATAACACACATAACCCCGGCATGCGCAGGGATTATATTTCAATTTTTCCCCGCGACGCGCGGGAAAAATTTATAATAATTTCGATCAGTGCGAAGCACGAGGGATTATTATGAAAATAACCCCGACGTGCTTTAGCACGAGGATTTATTTTAATATAACTTAAGCGTGCCGGTGTTATGTGTTATAAACCCCTCCGGGTTAGTGCTAGGACCAACAAATTTGACATTTTACTCTTAATTCTAGCCATATGAGATCAGTATGGAAAATATAAAATGGAATTGGGGACTACCAAATTGAAATAAATACAACTATATAAGGTACTATGACATTTGAAATTGGCGTTATATCTAAACATTATTCCTCAGTCAGAAGTACGTTGAATGAATATGAATATCGATATAAAGGGGCGTCGAGTTAAGCCTGGCAAGCGATAAAAGGTGGAGCTAATAATGATATCGTGTCATGAAGTTCATCAAAGTAGACGACTATAATACTTATACATGGCTTATATCAAACACGACAAAATTAACCGGACAAAATCAAATGTAACCGTCGAGACAAGTTCTGGAACTGGTCCTATTAATGTAAGAGTTTAAGTAATGTAAGCAGTGTGCTGGAGTTTTGCCAGCGCCTGCAATTAGACCGATACGTAGATCAAGTGTATTTATAGTTCTTACGTTAAGCCATAGGTCACGTGACATTTTTTACCAATGCGCGTCGTAGTAGTTAGTCACGTGATACACGTCATCAAAACACGTGACAGTGCGCAGTTGAAATTCTCATGGAATATCAAAACAAAACAAATCTTGTTGAGCCAAATGAGCGGGGCGGGATTATAGAAGTTGTGCCGGGGTTATTTATTCAGCGGGAAAAAACTAACAGCGGGAGGCGGGATTATCAGAATCTATTTAGCGGGAGCCGGGATTATCATAATCTTATTCTATCCCGGAGGGGTTTATAAGATTATATATTAACTGTAAAACGCCCGCTGGTGGATATAATCCACATCACCTCGACCCGCGGGCGGAAAAATCGTATAGCACTCGGGCCCGATGGGCCCTCCGTGCTATACGAAAATATGTCCTCCTCGGGCTAGCGCCCTCGGGGACATATGAAATATTGCACGCGCGTGCGCGTGCAATATTTTGTTCCGCCCGCGAGTCTCCGGTGATATGTATATATATAGTCCTTCTTGTTCGGTGGAAGAGGAGTTCCAGTGTGTGAGGCGTCAAAGCAAGTTACAAGCAAACAGGTTATTAATGCAAATACCGGTTTTCAAAACTGGTTACTTATAAATTCCAATAAATGAATATCTTTTTATGCCAATTTCTCTTATCAAACCTTTTTTTGCAACTTTCAAATGCTTATCACAAATCTAATTCACATGTAGTAACAAATCGAATTTACAGCTAACGGCATTACCGGGAAGCAACTTAACTTCCGACATACTTCATGCCTACTGTTATTAACCACGGTACCAAATTAGACAGGTATTAGTTGCTAGCACCGGGTAATAATCACCTCTCCCATGTCCATGATATGTAGTACTTTATTTCCTCCAAGAAATTATTTATTTAGAGCTCCTTTTGACTTGGCTAGAACTATACATGGGAGGCCCCGGTTATATCAAGAGAGTCCGTCTCGGAAGGTTCTGAACCCACGATTGAGCGTCTTAAAACTTTTGTTTTAGGGAAATTATAGTTTTGCTAGAATTCAGAGTTTCATGTTACTTCTTATTTAATTTAGTGATTATAATTCAGACTTTCAATTTTGGTGGGTTAACACAAATTGAAACGACAATATAGAACAAAATATAGAACGACTAATGGTAGTATAATTAATGAGAGAAAACCTTCTTAAATTGAAAAATGGTTATATAACAATGGAAGTAACCTTTTGATACTATACTAATTAATTGAAACGGTAGAAATTCTTCTCATAACCTATTTAAAGGAACTCTAAGTCTATGTTGGTGCAATCACCTTTTGATATGTCTCTCTCTAAGAAATAGTGTAGGAGGGCTAGAATATCACGCGTCTTTGACTGAGTCTCACCGTCAACAGTTTGACTGTCACGAATGGTCTCGGTTGACGACGGAGAATCGATTAATCTAGCAGGTATCGGCAAAGGCAGCACGTTCTGAGTAGGAAGATTCGGGTCTATTGACCTCAAGAACAGCTTCAATCCGTATAATGGTCCTTCAAGTGAGAGGGAGATCGGGAATCTTATCGTCGTTAGCTTACTTCTACCCGGAAACTTAGTCACGGTTCTTTAGATTATGGAATGGAAGACTTGCCCGGTAAACTACACGATGTGTCGGTTCAGAGCAACTGGAATACTTATGACTGGAAAGATTAAAGCATCCGGATGGAACCGGCATACTGGACTCTGTTATAAGCACTGCTCTGAAACAAACTTATAAGACTGCACTGACCCGAGAAAGACATCGGATCTCCGATCTCTCTCCCTCTTAACTCCCTCCGACTTTCCCAGAGTCTATCAGTCTGGTTCATCAAAATCAGTAATTGTTCATCAAGATCGTTATTGCTCATCACGGTTTAAACTCTGCTATGCTCTGCTAATCATCCATTCTCACAATTCATAGATCTTCGTCTGAAACTGCGATAGGCCAGTCTGCTATCAGGTGATCTTCTGTGGTGTTCTGATTGTACACCTCCATGGAATGTCATCAACCGTGTCGAATTGTCTATTAGTTAAACACAAAACGCTTCATTTTGTTAATCAAACGTAATCTCTTCTCTAATTTAAATACACATCTTATTTTAATGATCTTCTAAACTTAACGATACCTATCTTAAACATAAAATTATTCAAGCTCAAAATGACTGGAATTGTTCATTACTATCTTCAATGGAAATGTGTTAACTATAAATCTAAATCATTTAACTATCTTTTAAAAGGAATATCGGAATTAGAGAGAATTTCGAGGTTCCTTACACCTACATAACATTAATACCTTCACCGCTGGGAAACGAGCAAGGTTTAATCCCTTCACCGCCGTGAAACGAGCACGGTTTAATCCCTTCACCGCCGTGAAACGAGCACGGTTTAATCCCTTCACCGCCGGGAATCGAGCACGGTTTAATCCCTTCACCGCCGGGAAACGAGCGCGGTTTAATCCCTTCACCGCCGTGAAACGAGCACGGTTTAATCCAGCTTCACCGCCGTGAAACGAGCACGGTTTAATCCCTTCACCGCTGGGAAACGAGCGCGGTTTAATCCCTTCACCACAGTGAAACGAGCACGGTTTAATCCCTTCACCGCCGTGAAACGAGCACAGTTTAATACCTTCACCACCGTGAAACGAGCGCGGTTTAATCCCTTCACCACCGTGAAACGAGCACGGTTTAATCCCTTCACCGCCGTGAAACGAGCACGGTTTAATCCCTTCACCGCCGGAGTACTCCTTACAACAATTCTATGATGATGATCAAACAGACTAAATAAATTATATTGTATGTTTATTGCCCCACCTCATCAGAAACACTAACTCAACTGAAGAACCTAATCGAAAGTTTAGGATTAGGAGACGTCAACTCGTCTCTATTGCCCACTTTAAACAAAGCAACATTCATCGTACCTTGTTTTATAAAAACCAATAAACATATGCCAATGTACAATGTAGAGTGTAAACTACTCAAGGTAGCCGTTACAATTGGTTCTAAGGACGTAAGGTTATCACTGAAAGTTAAAGTTTCTTACTCCTTATAATGCAGGATGATAGTACGAGCACGGTTTAAATTTAACTAGGCGAAATTGTGGCTAAAATCGCGGCGAAAGATAGTGTACTTGCAGAGAAAAGTTACATGTCATATATTCGTTAACTAGCTCGTTAGGCTAGTTTAAGTTAGATTAGCTATAAATACTAAGCAGAGCTTGCTTTTAGATCAGCCCTTCCAGACGATCTCGAAGGTTCCCCCCAGCTCGCCAGAACGGAACTCGATGTTCCACTTCGAATCTGTACTCATACACATAATATTATAAGTTAACTTGTGTTAATATTTTACCATATTACACGTAATCAAACAAAATAAACCCTGTTTACAATGAGATAACATCACGTGATGGAATCACGTGTTTTGATAACAAAGCTAGAGACCTAAGGGTAAGGAGTAGGAACCGACCGGATGGGGGTTTTGGCTGCCGGACCGGATCTTGCCGGATTTTGCCGGACCGGAACCGATGGTTACAGAGTGAAATATAAGGCAGCCGGATCTTGCCGGATTTTGCCGGATCTTGCCGGAAAATTTAAATTTATATTCTTATTTTTATACTTTTGTCATTATCATGTGGAATTACACAATAAAATAGTGTCTAACTCTTTCGTATCACTTATATGTTTTAAATATCACCCTCCTAGTGTCTAACTAACAGTTTTCATGCCCGACCTATATTTTCGATTAATTTTTAGCTA